GCCCCCTCCCCTGTCCGATCCGCCAGTCAGCCCCGGTGGATCGGAGCGGGGAGAGGGGAATCCAGCCCCTCCCCTGTCACGGCAGAGAGCCGTGACAGGATCGAGAGGTGAGCGAACGCCGGTATGTGTTCGCTCACCTCCCGATCTACTGAGCCGACCTGTGACAGTCTCATTGTCACAGGTCGGCTAGAACTATGAGGTGAGTTAAAAGCACTCACCTCATAGTTCTCCTTTAATGATGGATTTTCCACCAATGATCCTTCCCTGTGGCATGGAAGCCATCTCACCAACACCCAAAACCAACACCCCCCATCCCACCCCCCCTCATGACTTGTCTCTTAAAGTGCATGTAAACCCCAACAATGAACTTCTCATATTTGATCCCTTTTATTCTGTTTATTATTCCATCGGAAGCATTTTGTTATATCCTTTCGATAAGAACAAAAAAAATCCCCCTCGATCTTGCTACAAAAACCGGAGCTGTCCTGTGTCCTCTGCACGCTTCTGGTGTTATCTCAAGCAATCTAATTAGCCCTTCTAGTTCTTGGACTCCAAAATAATTACTGTCTAGTATGTTGTAGAGATGCGGATAGTGGAAGGGTTTGAGTAGTTTAGGAAAAGACAGCTGGGAAGGCCCGACCCTACCCTCTCCACATAAACTTGCGTGTTATCAGTCCACAAGAGGACTTACAAGCTGAGTGCATTTAGATTGTAAGTTGTCAAGGGCAGGACCCTCCCAACCATCTTGTTTTGATTTGTATTACTGTATATCTGTAATGTCTTCCTTATATTCTAAAGCGCTGCGCAAACTGTTGGCGCTCTATACATCCTGTATATTCTGACTCCGATTATTGTGATAGCGAAATATATCCCTTGCTGAGACCTCTATGCCTGGCCTGTATAAGCAGATATACTCACTGCGGACAATCCTCGTCAGATAGCTGAACTCGTCAATACCGATTCATTCAAAAGAGGTGTTTATTCTTTAACATCAGGTTACAGCAGATGATAGGAACAGCAGTTGAACGGTTATAGTATTGTGCGGTCAGAAAATGTTGCCTTTCCTACGTACTGTGCAGATTACATGTGTGTCCTTGTTACATGTGACTTTTAACTGTGGCCATGACACAGGAAGTACTGCACACAGGAAGAAGGAAGAGGCGTACACTAGGGGAAAATACATCGTCACATGAGGAATAATTACAGAAAACATGTTTGTTACAACAAAAGGCCACTAGATGGCAGCATAGGATAACACATGGATTTAGCTATGAGAAAATAGTTAGGCAAATCACACTATGTAAAACTTCTATCTATATTAACTTCTATAACATATTCTATGCCCCATTGGGGCGGCACACTGTATAATAATTTCTGGCAGATCAACAAGTATTTTTCAGAGGTCTTTCAAGGGACAAAACATGGGGAATGTGCATGCATTGCAAAGATGTACTGCATATGGTCTTTTTGTGCCCTGACATACACTATAAAATGGATCCAGAGGGTTCTGGAAGCTCCGTTAATTGAACCGGGACCTGTTCTTGTGCTGGAAAAATTACCCTAACCTTTAATAGCAGAGCTGGGCATTTTATGTTCCACATTTGGCCCACCCACCTGCGCTCCATTATGGCTGAGTGACAGTGGATGCATCGGCCTCCAAGGCCATATCCCAGTGCACGTTGGTGAGCGGTCCGTGTTCGAACCATGTTTCTCTTCAGTCCTTGTTTGTTAGGACCTCTGGCTTCCTAACAACCAATGATGTCAAAGGTTCTCCTCTGTCATCATTGGTTGATTGGACCACTGGGCGATCCTAGCAACCAGTGACGTCTGTGGTCTTCCTCCATTTCCTCTCCTGCAGCTCCTGTTCGTGCACTTATAAAAAAAGATCTTAAAAGGGTATGTGCGGGGTGCGAGGTTGGTGACTAACACACGGTACTGCGCAGCACACCTATCGTACCATGCGTTACATGGTGGCAGGCGCATTGCATGATCTACTTTTTTTCAATTGCACCTCAATGCACGGTATTGCGGTACCGCATGTTGAGGCGCAGTCTATCACATTGCGGCCAGGAGGTGCATTTGAGGTGCCATTCAAATGCATGGCAACAGAACGCACCTGCCACGATGTAATGCACACAGAGCCAGATTTACTTTCTCTGCTGCCCCAAGGCCAGGTACCTCAATGCGCCCCCTACCTGCCAATCCC